TCATAAAATGAGGAGTTAGCTAAGATTAGAAAGGAGAAAAGGCTGGACAACAGACTGGAAGCTAGGGTGAGCAAGATAGAAGATGATACTGCAGAAATAAAAATGGATATCAAGGTAACCAGCGTGAGTACTCATTTTCGGTTCCCACCGGTGCTTCATTGTCTAACACAATTTCTCAAAAAAAAAAATAGAAAACGCAACAGGTACAACAACAAATCCTTCAGGTACTGCAAAGTATTATTGACCCATCTATGCCAACATCTGCACAAGGTCAGCCGTCTATGGCTACATCTTCGCAAGTTCGGTTATCTATGCCTACATCTGCACAAGTTCGGGTATGCAAATGTGGCTTCAGTTGCTTTGTGTAATGTTGGATTTGATATTTTGGAATTTAACAAAAAATACCAACTACAGGAATCACCACAGATACTAGTCAAGAAGTCAGCACCAGGTGGCCCACTGCATTTCTCCCATGCACTGACGAGTATCAATGCTGAAGCACACACTGGAACAAAAGTTAAGATGGAAAAGAACACACAGCAGCAGAATAGCCCCTCTACACAACACCAAGGCGACGCCTCTACACACATCACACCAAGGAAGCCAATTGTCGACAACGATTACAAAGTGAGTCCAATAGACACAGAAGCCGGATGCTTCGTACTAATGAGTTACGACCATGCTAAGGTTGTACAAATAGGTGACCATGTTCTTACAGCCAAACAGCTACGCCCTAATTTCACAGATGGCTTTATAGTAGATGAGGTAAACTGATTTCAGATCCTTTTTGTCCACAATAACATGCAAACACCTACTATGTACTAATAACTCTACCCTTTGTAGGTCATAAATGCCTATGTTGATTTAAGCAGCGTGGAGACTGAAGAGGCATCATTCATAACAACTTTCCAAGCCAGGAAGTTGGCTACAGATAATCTAGGTGACCAACGCCTGACATTTAAGAAGTTAATTGCCGACAAATGTGTTCGAAGGCATTTGGTATGTAATACTGATTTTGTTTGGACACTTTTACTTGACATTTGCATTCAGCAAAATATTCGTATTTATTTTTCAAAGTTTTGTCAATTAGGACAGTTTACTGTATTTCTGGTAATCTCTATTGCAATTATTGTTTTCAGGTTTTTGTGCCTATGCATATAAACAAAAATCACTGGGCTCTACTAGTGCTAAATTTTATAAAGAAAGAGGTCCAGCTACTTAACTCCTTAGCCTCAACCTGAGATGAAAACCAAGAGAAGGCGTTGGTAAGTACAACGTAACACGTACCACCTATTGAATTATAATTACAGTTCGATCAAATTTAACATCTATCTCACCATCCATTAGGTGGAAAGCATACAAGAATGCATTGATTCTTCGGGCAATGATGGCTTGGTTAACTTGCGCGTCTGGAAACGAATTCCTTATCATAACATACCGTAACAAACAGACGGGTACCCCTTTTCCCTTTTCTACATTAATGTTCTACTTCAATTACTAATTCTTATGTTCGTTGCAGTCATTCATGTGGGGCGTTCATAATATTTTATATGCTGGCATGGGATGGAGAAAAAATGGTCTTTCATTTCACAAACGTGAGTCTTACAATCCTTGTTAATTCCAAATATCTATAGACCCATTCAATAATTGTTCTATGATAATGCACTATTTTCACTTGTATAGACACAAATGCAAGGATTTAAACGGAGAATCTGCACGAGGTTGCTCCTTTCTGATCGCAACATGAGACGACAACAATCATACCAAAATCCTATTACGGTCTGAACTTTTAATTCATATTAAAAATGATCCAGATGCATCAACTTATACCATACTGTACAAAATATGCTGGGTCTAACATTTTTCTTGATGATTCTTAGGAGGAAGAGTACTATGCAAAAAATCCGGATGAACAACGCCAGCATGAACAGGCTAAAAATGCAAGCGATGTTCAAATAATAGAGACTAAAACTCCAAACCCTGAGGTCAGCACGAAAGAAGGGAAAGGAACAAAAGGAGGGAAATGAACGAAAGGAAAAGGATCTGAAAAAGGAACAGGAGCTCAAAATAGGAAAAGAGGACGACCGCCAAACAAATTAGTTGTCAATACTCCTACTGTCGCAGATGAATTTAGTAGCGAATCTATCGCTAAACGAGTTCAAAGGGCCAAGCATCCAGGGAAACAGTAGACCAGCCCTTTTAGGCCTTTTTAGAACTAATGTGTTGTCTATTTAGTAAGCTATATTTCATCTTTAGTTTGTCTAGATGGCTAGAACGATGTGTGTTGAGACCTAAACAATGTGCTGAACTAAATTCATGTATGTTCAGGCGCAAATACTTAGTCAAACATCTACCGGGAGGCGTTGGCTTAAAAGAATCACACAGCATATGCAAAGAGTGTATCACATCATATCTTAATGGAATGAAGGCGGTCTGTTTGAGATGCAAAACCAAGGGCAAGGTCTCGAGGAAGCCCAGCAGCAACTCCACCATCAGCCATGGCCTCTATTGCTAAGAATATGTATGCCAGGCCACTACCACTACAGTAACATTAAAAAGATAGAAATTAGCTCACTCATGAACGTTGACACCTATTTTCAGTATCACAATAATATAATAGCACTAAGATAGTAGAGCAGCTTACATACTGACAGAGGTCAAAAGATTCCCCTAACTTTAGACGCCTAAAATATCATGCTTAACCTGAAAAAATAGCAGATGCATCTGATTCATCACTTGCTGAAAAGTGGAAGCAAGGGAAACCCCTAGCCCTCCACTGATGCAGGCCATATTGATGTATAACAAATGATTCCCCACACCAAAACTATCTAAACATGAAAAAAACTCTCTCCTGCATGCCAGTATCATGGATGTTAAGACGACACCCTATCTTAAAGTTGAGTTTTAGTAGCAGATGAAAAGATCAAATATCTTGAGTTAGAGTTTCATTTGATAAATCAGGAAAACAAATTGGTTACGGTACGAGATTTTTATCAACTGCATGTATGTTGCATAACAAATGATTCTCCAATAGTGTCATTATCAATCAAATCGTTCAAGCAAAGTTGGGATTCCTTCTCCCATAGTCCTTACTAAGCTGATTCATTTTCTAAATAATAAACTATGCAGCATACATTTTTCAGCGAGTCTGCATCAATTCCTGTAATTCTAGAGGCTCTGGGCAAGGTAGCCTGACTCATTATATTTCTAGAAGATCAGGAGCACATTGCCACAAGAAATGCAGATATCATAATATTGAATGCACAATGACATGACAGCAACTTATGTGTAGTGTAACAAAACTGTGGCAATTATCAGTAGCAAGATGCAGTAGAAGACCAACCAAAGAGATACATATGGAACATCCCCAGGTAGAGGTAATCGTTGCCACTACCGTGCACTCGAATCCAAAACTCTCATCAGAACTTCCCAGATAACCAAGCAAAAATCTTGCTACATGGCTTCACGGGAAGGGGGAAAGGGGGTACTGTAGGGGCACGCTTCTAAATATCTGATGATTTTGTGCAAGGGCACGCTTCTAAATGTGCAGCAAACATAAGAGGGGACAAACAAAACATATAGTCAAGTCCTTTCAACTTTACCCAAAAAAAGTAATCAACCCGAGCAAACACAATGCAGATAAACTACTGAGAAGAATGCTAGTGCATTTTGCTACAACGTGACAAACCAAATCAAAATAATCAAACAAGTGGAGGAGGAGAGGAAGGGGTGGGGGCGCTGGACCCGGGCAGAGCCACGCCGGATCGCTGCACCGTCCTCAATGTTGGCCAGCGTGGGAAGAGGAAGCCGCCCAGGCGCTGCATCGCCGAGGCCGACCGCTTCCCGGCTCGGCTGAAGTGCTCGGCCTGCCTTGCGCGCCGACGAGATCTAGCAGACGCTGGGACCTCCCTAATCAAGCTTCTAACGAATGTCACCCTCTTGGTAGCTTTCTGAAATAAAAGGGCCAGGACAAAGATATAAGACCATGATGCTAAAAAATAAAAATAAGAAGTCATTAACAACCAGAAAACATTAAGAAAAACTAAGATAGCATCATGTCAAAATTCCATCAACTAATTCAGGAAGTTGCATTTAGCGAGATGTTTTAGAAACAAAATCAAAATGCGACTTAGCTTATATGTCATGTCTTGCCAATAAATATCTGCCTCTAGAACTAGCGACATGAAGTAATGAAATCCTCCGATTGCCAAAGGTGAGATGAGACATGATGATCAGTATGAACTTTGGGGCTGCTTATTAGTTACAGTAATGATCCTGGTACCATTTCCACAAATGTTTTAAAACTATAGTTTTGCCATTCCAAAGCACCACACCTAGCTTAGTAGATTGACCAATTCAAATCATTCAGCGGCAAACTCATATTATGCCTCAATTTTACAACCCAAACCAGTCATAATGTAAATTAGATAAAACTTCTGCTTACGAATCATGTGCTAAAAGGTGCATTTAGTGAGAAGTTTTAGAAACAAAATCACAATGTGACTAAGTTTCCACGTTATGTCTCACCAATTAATATCTGCCTCCAGGACTAGCAACTTGGAGTATTGAAAAATCTCCAGATTGCCAAAGGTGAGATGAGGCAAGAAACACAACAAAGCTGTTTAAAAAAAAGACTATTCAATGTACAAATGTTTCTACGCCCATAGTTTTTTCGTCCAAAAGCAACAGGCCTGTTTGACCTAACAATTTGGATTATTCAATCATCAAACCTCAATTATCTAACATTAATGATACACCAAAAGTAATATTGCAGTTCAAATACGGAAAACCAAGCAAGTCATCCACTAGAGTATGTAATCCAGCAGAATCCACCATACCAAAATGCCAATCTCTTACCAAGTCAAAAATAAAATTATTGCACAAAACAGTCAGTGTTCTTTTATGTCCAATACACAAATCATAAATTCATAACCTGCAATTCAACTAAGATATATACAAGCATGGCACAAAATAGTAGGATTTTGGTTCTATAGGCTGGATTACACCTGCAATTGAGATCGCAGAGCAGTATTAAGAGATCGGAGGCTTCGGAACGGATATTCTTACCCCCTTGCGATTAGACGGGCGAAGTGGCAGCTCTCGCTTGGTGACGACGTGTCCCTTGTTTATGCCAACGAAGAGACCTGACTTGGCCTGCGTCGGTGCCATGGCCGGTCTCGTGCTAGCTCCGTTGACCTGAAATGAACACAATCGAAGAAACCAAATCAAATTAGATACAAAATGAAGCTGAGATGAAACGAACGCATTCAAAGAAACCAAATCGAATTAGACACAAAATTAAGCTGAGAGACTTGTAGCTTCGGGTGCAATTGGGATTGAAGACGGCGCTTGAGGTTACCTGAGTGGGGCGCGAGCGAAACCCTAAGCCACCGGGCCCGGATCTCGCCTCCTCCACCGCCATCGCCGGATCTACGCGGTGCCGGTGTAGGAGCCCGGCAACCCTCCTCATCCTCCTCCATAGTGTCCATCCCCGCCATGGCTGCTGCCCGGACCGCCACGTCCGAGAGCGCACCTCGCCGCCCGCACCCTCCCGCCAGCGGGGACGGCCACCGCCGCCGCGAAGGGGAGCGCGGACACCCGGGCCCGGATCTCGCCTCCTCCACCGCCATCGCCGGATCTACGCGGTGCCGGTGTAGGAGCCCGGCAACCCTACTCGTCCTCCTCCACGGTGTCGATCCCCGCCATGGCTGCTGCCCGGACCGCCGTGTCCGCGAGCGCACCTCGCCGCCCGCACCCTCCCGCCAGCGGGGACGGCCACCGCCGCAGCGAAGGGGAGCGCGGACGCCGCCGGGCCCGGATCTCGCCTCCTCCACCGCCATCGCCGGATCTACGCGGCGCCGCCGTTCGCCAGGGACTGGTGAGGAGGGTTGGCATGCCCTGGAAGCCACAACCCTGCCCTCGCACTCGCCGCCGCAGCCACCGCCCTCGTCCTCACCCCGCCCTCGCACTCGCCGCCGCAGCACACAGAGAGAAAGAAGGGCCCGAGAAAGAACAGAGCGACTGAGAGAGAGGGGCTGGCCTGCGTTGGTCCGAAGAGAATAATACGTGAAAACAGTGTAGTACTTCAATCATCCTGGTACTCTAAACATTATTTTTATATCCTTGATTTACTGTTCTACCCTCAATTATGTAAAATAATTTCAAAAATAGAAAATTTCCCACTTTTTTTAAGTGCTGATCCGATCAATTTTAGTATGCACCCGGTGCGTATGGTCCCACCATTTAGTATGCACCTGGTTCCTCCCGGTACCTCTTAAATTGGTTCCTCTTGGTTCCTTTACCTTTTTAGCAGTCGGATCGGTTCTCGTGAGCCGTCCATTTTATGACAATCATTGTAAAAATTCTCTTAGCTTATATTTAATATTTCTGATTGGTATCTAACAGATAAATACAACCTTTATTCTTTCCGGGGCAGAGAGTACAACCAAACAAATGTCTGGAAGGGTCTAAACCCACGTAAAGTATGCACAAATCCCACCGTAGCCCATCAACCAATATGACCATCCCGACGAGGCAACGCCCAAGCCGACGGGAGCCCAAAGAAGACCACGAAATGTCAATTCCATCAGGTGGGCGTCGCTTCGTTTGACTCCTCCGCGGTGTTTAGTTTGGCAAACTTTGCATAGTGAAGATTTTCTAATATAGCATTTTGTTTGTATTTATGAATTATTGTCCAAACATTGACTAATTAGGTTCAAAAGATTCGTCTCGCAAAATTAAAGCAAATTGTGTAATTAGTTTTTGATTTCGTCTACATTTAGTACTCCATATATGTACTGTAAGTTTAATATGACGGAATTTTTTTACATAGTGCCTTCTACTCGCCGATCGGCCAATGGATGTGACTCGTGAGCCCGTGTGGTTGTGCCCAGTGACGCCACGCCATCTGCCCATCACGTCTAGCCGAATGCAGGGGTCAGGGGCCTGCGGCTTGCCGGTTGCTGTCCTGCCAGCGTGCAGGCTGCTGCAGCACTGCGAAGCACTCAGGCTGCCCCCTGCAGAAGTGCCGAAGCCAAACTGCCGATCGACGATTGCATTTTTTTTCTTGTTCGATTTTACACAATTTAATCTTGATTACTGATGGTTGTAGATATTGTTAACTTGTATGGTCATTTGATTTCCTACTAATTTAGGTGTTGAGAGTTTTACAATGTTATCTAAGAAATTTTTGTTTGATCCTAATTAAAGAAAACGAAGGACACTAGAAGATATTTTATTCATAAAAATATCATCTTTAATGATTTTGCATTAAGAAATACCCAAAACATCTTTTAACGAGAAGCAACGGATAAGATGGAATTTTATTCTTCATTTAAGGTGATCATATTAGTTCTAGCTTATTTTTCTTTTATTAGTCCCAGCACACGCGTTCCGACATGTGTCCGCAAAGCCTGTATAAGTGTGTTCCGACACTCGGAAGTTGAGATGTTTGTTGGAAGTTTTGATATTGCTTGCGCACACAAGCCTGCTTAAGTGTGTTGCTCATGATGGAAGTTTCTATGATTCTCCTTCACAGCATAGTGATCTTGTACGTACTGTTCCCTATATGAAATCCTAGTCGTTAGAAGTTCCGATGTCACCCAAAATAGCTAAAATATGCTACAGCTATTAAATATCACTCTCATTCACTTCTACTGTTGCACACACCATAACTCTGACCAACCCTCAGTCGAAACAACCCCAAAGCATTCAAAGCTCTCTTTTCTTCTCCCTTTGCTTTCCGAAGCTAAATCTTGCAAGAGATTGAGTTGAGAGATGGGTTTTGGGTGAGAGAAACTAAGATTCAAAGCTTGACCACTTGAATTCTTTGTCAAGCCGGTTGGATCCGCGTTCATTACTCATTGGGGCTTATGGGAAAGATACGATTTTTCTAAGGTGGAGCCTTGCCGCTGACACGTGAGTCCCATATGTCAGATCCATGCCACGTAGGGTAGCAGGTCGGGTAAACACTCGTTTTGGCTGAGATGCGACCCATTACAATTTTAGGAAGCCAAAATGCATTTTGAAACTTTAGAGACCTATATAACATCTCAAGACAACTTTGAGAACTGCCGGCGAATTTTACTCCTATGAATAAATAAATGAATAGATACAGATATAGATGCTTCTTTTAAATAAGGTCTAGGTCATGGATTTATATATTATTATTTAATATGCAATTTTCTAGATGTCTTTTATTCAATATGCAAATTTATGGATGCCTGTTATTCAATATGCAATTTCTGGAGTGCTTATGCTTAAAGTAGCATCCATATCTTTCCATTCATTCATTTTAAATTTTCTGCATAATTTAGTTTTTTTTGAAACATGCATATTTATTTAGTTAGTTATAGGGTAGTGTCTTCATTATAATACTGAAAGAGATATAAAGGGTGGATGGCGTGCCTTGCAAGAGCACAAGGGATAAAAGACAAAGCTATATATGTTAAAAAAAAAGCATGTTAAAATAGAGGTGGAGTGCTGTTTAATGAATGCATTTAATCTCTCCGGTGCTATTCAGTGAAATTCAGTAATTACCGGTGCTGATTCTAGAACACCAGTCCAAATTAGTGCTGTTTTGAAAAATTTCCCCTTTCTCTTCGCAATACAAGTAGGGGCACCACCAAGAGAGGTTGGTTATTACGCCTAAAAATGATGAATAAGATTGTCTGATTTTAAAATATATTGTCATCTTAAGGCAAAAGAATGATAGGAAATATAGTGCTAGTTGGTGTGAGTGTGCTTGACGAAGCGTTTTAGTTGTATCGTTCTCGTTTCCACGTGATTGGATCTTTTGACTTAACGCTAATGATAGGAAGCGGACGTCTGGGCAGCCGGACGCACCATTTGTGAGCCGCGCGATGCTAGCCCAAAACCCCCTGCTCCTCTGTTTCTAAATAAAAAAATCAACTCGTCCACGTATTTGTTTCTATCCGCTCACTTGCTCTATCTGCTCGCCTGCCGCCTCTAGCGCTCGGCCGCTGGCCCAGCCAGGTGTGGAGCGCGACCGCCTCTGAGGCGCAGCGCTTGGGCGCCGACCCTGCCAAGCCACTCCGACGCGCTGCCACCGCCATCCCCCACGGAGCCTCCGTCCCCCGCCACGCCCATGGTACGCTGGCCCAGGCCGTGGAGCAAGTGTGCTCGTAAGCCTCGCACAGGTACTCACCAAGGCCATCGAGCAGGTCCTCGCCCCAGAGGCGCACTAGCGGGCTCCATGCGCCACGGTGACATCGAGCTCCGTGATTCGTCCAAGCAGCAAGGTGACATTGCGTACTAGAAATTCATGTTGCAAAAGTATGTTTCAAGTATTTTATCTGGACGTTGCAAGTGTTTTATGCGGATGTTACAAAAGTAGATCAGGATGTTGTATATGTTGCATGCTTTTGTTCCCAATGTTTCAGTTATTTTTTTAGACATACGTTGCAAGTGTGTTTATCTGAATATTGCACGTGTTTCATATGTATGTTGCATGTGTTTTATGAGGATGTTGCATATATTTTTGTAATGACGTTTTCAAGCATTTTTCATATATTTTTACAATTGTTTCAGACGTACGTTGCAAGTGTTTCAACTGTTTTCGAACGCATGTTGCAAATGTTTTATTTGGATGTTTTAAAAGTAGATCGGGTGTTACATCTCCCTTCTTGCCTTGTGCTGCCTCGCCTCGGTGTCTCCTCTTCTCGATCCTGGTGATTAAAAGGTCCTAATGGCTAGAGGGGATGAATTGCTTATAAAAAAATTCTATAACAATACTTAAGCCAAGAGGTTATACAATAATGAAACGAAACAAGTGTTGCGCTAGCCTACTCAAAATGCAAGACTTATATCCGCAATTCTAGTTATCTATAATCTCTATATCACACAAGAGGCTAAGTCACTACCACTAAGTTAGTGAGCTCTCAAAGACTAACTGAAGAGCCTCACTAACCACTAGACAAGACACAAGCTAGCTCTCAAAACTAATTACACTAAAGAGCTTAGCTACACTAGCAAAGTAAATACACAAGAGGGGTAGTGAGTTATACCGCCGTGGCAAGACATGATCAATCAATCACAAATGAATACCAATGAAATCCTCAGAGACAAGATAACACAATGATTTTTCACCAAGGTTCACTTGCTTGCCGGCAAGCTAGTCCCCGTTGTGGCGATTCACTCACATGAAGGTTCACGCGCTAATAGGCATCACACGCCTAACCCGCAAATAGGGTGCCGCACAACCAACACAAGATGAGGATCACACAGTTAAAGATGTGGGGGTATTAACCCCTATACCCTTACGGCTAGGTTTGGGTTGGTCCGGACCAGGGGATCCGTCCCACCAGAAGACGACGCAGCGGCCCAGCCGATCTGCTCGGAGTCCCGCAAGGAATCAAGGCAGACTTGGAGATCAGGCAAGATCCTGGTCGGTTAGAATAGGAA